TTTACTATACTAATTGAATTCAATTGCTGCTACCATTTCATTTGCTAGAGTCCTGTGTTTACATAATTAAATCCAAATTAGGACTAAGTACATATTTTCATCTTCATCCTCAAATAAGATAAAAAAATAGAAAAAAATATTTTGATGCAATTTAGTGAAAGTTCCTGGGCAATTAAAATATTCTATATTAAACTTCAGATAACTTGGTTTGTGGTCATTGTATAAAACTCTAAATAAGTAAACAACATAGGATGCTAATTTGTTCCCCCAAACCATTTTTTTAAAATTTAACTTACTACCTATTTAATTCTGTAAATGTAACAAATAAGAAAAAGGTGATATCCTCTATGCTCGATGATGGTATCTTACATCTAGTTGGAAATTTAAAAACAAAGATTTTGAAAGCAGATACATTTGTTGGCTTATCAAATTTTCTTTATATCTGTCTGAAAAACTCCAGATTATATTTACTATATCATTTTTACCATCAGTATAGCCTAAAGAAACACTATAGGGTCAGAAACACAAACCCTTCCCCCCTAAATATTGTAAAATCTTACTTTTGTCTGCTGCTACTGGCTCTTCCCTGAACTTCCTCCTTAGCTGACATGATCAGAAGATTTGATCTGAGCCAATCACAATGCTTTCACATAGGAAAGCTTTGGATTGCCAGAGCTTGTCAAGGTGGCAAATAAGGAGCAGAACCAGCACAAGCCAAACACAGCCTTGGTCAATCGGCATCTTCTCATAGAGAGGCATTGACACTGAATGTCAGTCACACTGTGCAGCACTGCCATAGGAAGCACCTCTAGCAGCCATAGAAACATAGAAACATAGATTGTGACGGCAGATAAGAACCATTCGGCCCATCTAGTCTGCCCAATTTTCTAAATACTTTGATTAGTCCCTGGCCTTATTTTAGAGTTAGGATAGCCTTATGCTTATCTCATGCATGCTTAAATTCCTTTACTGTGTTAACCTCTATCACTTCAGCTGGAAGGCTATTCTATGCATCCACTGCCCTCTCAGTAAAGTAATACGTCCTGATATTATTTTTAAATAATGCCTCTCTAATTTAAGACCATGTCCTCTTGTTGTGGTAAGTTTTCTTCTTTTAAATATAGTCTCCTTCTTTACGGTGTTGATTCCCTTTATGTATTTAAATGTTTCTATCATATCAAGTACAGATCCCTTAAGTACCCCACTGGTGACAAGCCCATGCTTTGAAAATACTCCATTCACTACAACCCTCTGTTGCCTGTCACTCAGCCACTGCCTTACCCATTCAACAATATTGGAATCCAAACTTAAAGATTGCAGTTTATTAATTAGTTTTTTTATATAATTACTAAATGCTAACTCGTCATCTGAGGAGTGGCCGTGGAGGTATCCCTAGGCCATAATGTAAACACTGCATTTTCTCTGAAAAAAACAGTGTTTACTGCAAAACATGATTATACTCACCAGAACAAATGCAATAAGCTGTAGTTGTTCTGGTGACTCTAGTGTCCTTTTTAACAATTGATCTAACCCATGTACTGTATGGCTTTTTAATGTATTTACAATTCTTCCCATATATTGCATTTTCTTCCTTCCAAATTCAACCTGTTCATGTCCTGTTCTTCTAGCTACTTTTTTCCTTCAAAAAATGTTACCATACTGTACTTTGTTAAATTCCTGAGATATTTGAAAGTTTCTATCATATCATCATTTGTTTTGTAATTCAACAAAGTCAATAAACTATGGAGTAAATGTAAGTTCAAACTGGGAAACCTATCACCCAGCTGTGCTGCAGATATATAAAATAATTGAACCTTAATGTAATAGTATCTTTATAAGACTTCCTCAATGTTATTCTTCAGTCAGGTGTATTTGACCTGTAGTGGAAACCAAGGTTGGATGACAAAAGCAGAGGAGGTCATGATACTTTGTTGAATTCTAAAACCCTCACTAGCTTTGGGTTTCTTTTGTGTAACCTTTAAGTCCCTTAGCAGTATCACAAGGTGTGTACAGATTACATGTTTTCAATATAGATGTATTTTATTTTGTTTAGAGATCATAAACTGTATGCTGAGAATGAGTTTGACATTTCACTACTTATATTTGAACATTCTAATGTGATTTGCTACAATAAACTTACCTCATGGTTTAATACAGCTCTTGGTACCCAAGTACACGGTTCCTCACAAGAAAATAATATAGCTTAGCCACTATCCCATATTCGCATTCCTTAAAACTTGGAACATCTCTGTAGAATGTAACAACCTGAATGCAGAAATATAAACTCATTTTATTTCATTTTAAATCAAAAAATAAATTAGAAAGAGGTAGCTAAATTGGCAGTCAAATTAACCACCAAATTCCTCAGAATTAGCTTCAAAATAATTTTTTCATAACATTTGCACTTAATTTCCAGGATGTAATTGTTGAATTATGATTGTCATTTTTCATTAGATGATGTGTGGTTTCAGCTTGTTTTATAAATAGTGTATTTCATTAGGGGAAATATAAAATAAACAGGTATTTTGACAAGTAATGAATCTAAATGTATCTACCAATTTGTCTTTTTTATTGGATCTGATTATAAAGAATATAGAAATAATTTATTCAATGGTTTATATGGTCCTAAACGTATTTTTCACAATACAGCCCTACATGCATATATTTATTTAAATACTGCACAATGTCAAGAGTTATCTCCAACGCCTGTATATATCTCGCTATATCTATCTATATCTGTTTATATCTATCTATCTATCTAAATATATTTATCTTTCTATATCTAAATATCTCTATCTATTTGTATCTCACTATATCTCTCTATCTGTATATCTCTCTGTACATAGAAAAATATTTGTTATTTTTTATTTAGATCGATTGATCTGTCTGTCTGTCTAAACGTAGGTTGAAACATTGAATATTCTTTCTTACACTTCAATGCAGATACGTTTACATGACTGTCTGCAAGTCTCTACATACAAAGTGTTGTATTCTGTAAATATTTAAGATCATGCAGTTTGATCAGTCAAAGCAGGAAAGGCCTTTATAAAGAGTTGTTTTGAATATCAGATAGAGTGCTGTACATCTGTGCATGCTGCGTTTATACATATTATCGGGCAACTCTTTCGAGTGCTTTGATTATATGCCCAGAAAGCTTACTGGGTGACAAGTATGCTAAAAATAATCATGCGTTAACTAACTTTTCTGCTAACAATTGTTCTAATGAGCACCAAATAGGGTACAGACTGGTATTCACTACAACTGACATCAAAGGGAAGATAATTTCAAACTTTTAAGAAACAAATTGGACATTGCTCAATGCAGCAAACAAAGCCCAATCTCCTCACTATGCAGGAGCAACATTTCGAGCTAGCATTACCCTTTCACTGCTGTTTTTACCCTTTCACTGCTGTACCTAAGAGCCGGAAGGCACAGCTCTTGGGTTCAGGAATGGTCTATACTTTATGAGGCTTTGCTGTCAGCCCTGACTTTTTCGATTGTTGATCAATGTCTTATTCATTGGTCCTACTTTGGATAACACCAGAGCTATTACTTAGCACCAAGACTGGTATAATACTACACCAGATTCTTGGTCATTTAATGTAGGTGTGTGTTCCCAACCCAGAAATCCAGTATACTATTGGCTGATTTCTTTTTTCTCCCATTAAGGATTTTAGAATGTTTAGTCATACCAAGCTGATGCCGGATCTTTTTAAAAAATGGTTTCATTTTCAATCAGATGTTAACGTAGTGGTTCTCAATCTAAACTCCTGTTATGTAAATTTAGCTTTAATACATACAGGAAGCTCCTGCAGGGTCTATAATACTATTAACAGTGCAGGAGATAGGCATTTTAAATTAAACAGAATTTGCAATACATGAAGCGTAAGCATTAGATGACTCTTTACAGGAAATGTTTAGGAAGGCTGTGCAAGTCACATGCAGGGAGGTGTGACTAGGGTTCATAAACAAAGTGATTTAACCCCTGAATGGCAGAAAATTGAACAGTGAGACTACATGGGGCATATATATATACACCAAAACTGCGTCATTAAGCTAAAGTTGTATTGGTGACTATAGTGTCCCTTTAACCCCTTAAGGACACATGATATGTGTGACATGTCATGATTCCCTTTTATTACAGAAGTTTGGTCCTTAAGGGGTTAAGGCCAGAATAGCCAAACTGGAAGCATAGCTGATTTTAGAAGATTTTTTTCCAGTTTGGCTATTTAATTCCTGACAATTCTCACTTTAGTTAAAAACCATAAGAGTATCATATCGGTAAAAAAAAAAGAAGCAGATAACATTTAATCTTGCAGTGCCACAACAGCAACCGCAAGCTTATTATGAACAGTGTATTGATATGGCATGCGAGTAAACAGCACAATTTTATATTATATTTTATATTATATTATCAGTCTAGACATTGAGAGATTATGTCAAGGTAAGAGACACAATTTTAAACAAAAGGTTTCAGATAGGTCAAGAATATTCAGACTAGGTATTGGCATTGATAATTGCATATATTGCATAGTAACAACAGGCTTACGCGTGTAGCAGCGGTTTAACGCAGGTTAGATTATGACTTGAGGTGGTGCTTCACCATTTGGTGGGTGAGCAATCATCATAGGGTAACCTGGTGCTTATTCTAACATATGATATATGTGAGGGGCTTAGTGCTCTGCAACAACGTATGTTGGTTTGGTCAGGTTATACATTGGCAGGCACATTCGCACATGCCTAATACAATAAAGGTGATTTGTATACGGTTTCAGGATTAATAAGACATGAATATGCAGGGCATGTCAGTTATTGGTCAGATAATCATAATACGACAATATGGTGCCTATCTGAACTGTTAAGGTTCAAGAGATATAGCATAGGGCAGTTATAAGATAAAAATAAACAGTTGAACTGAAAAACATGCTTAAGTCTGGTTATAACGGTAGAGTTATAGTGTATAGAGATTCTCATGTATTCTCATTATTAGCTGGAGTTATCTAGTGGTAAAGCTGCAGGGTGCTCATGCTCTGCAGATGAATGGGATCTCTGCGGTCGCTCTCAAGCAGTGAGGGACACGTGGAAAGGCAAGGAGTAATATAACTCTGTGGTGCTACATAGCAGAGGTGTTCGTGAGGAGCCTTCAGCCTACACCACATAGGCCATGAAGGGGAGTCTTTCTCTGAGGTGCTTGCAGCCATTAGTAAGTTGGCCGGGCAGTGTCCCGGGATGGCTTCCTTCCAGCCCTGGACCCTTGTAGGGGCCAGCACCACTAAGCCATGAACTCTGGGGCTCTGTGAGTCCAAGTCATTCCCACAAGTAGGATTGTGTAAGATCTTGATGGCATGGGGCCTCCGCTTTTGTGGACGGTGCTTTCTGGGAAAACCCTTAATGGCCCTCAGTCCAGGAGGGCATACTCTGGCAGAGACTTGCGTGGTCACGATGCTGATGCCCAGAGGGGGCCTCCCTCGGTTCTTCTCCCCATTCCGCCCTGCAGGCTCTGCGGGTGAGCATGTGGGAGCTGTCATGCGTTCCCTCAGCTTGGCCCAGAAGTTTGCGAAGATAGCCTCCAGTGAGGTCATAGGGTCGCCGGGGCTGACTGGGTTGTTGGTGCGTTGTTGCTGTATCTCTCGAGGTTTAAGCTTCAGTGTGTCCGCCAACTTGGATATGGCAATTTTGCAATATACGCTGCTGGTAAAGGTTTGCAATACAAGTCGAGGTACAGGCTGCTAGCTAGGACCAGGATTACCCCCACCTGTCCAATGGGGGGGGTAGGAGCGTGGATGATTGTGGAGCAAGGAAAGCAGCCATCTCCCCGAGCTCTGTCTCTGGTAGGCCGCAGCCCGCCGGTCTAGGCTCTCGGTCTCGGGGATGTCCGAGTGAGGTATCGTTCAACGCAGCAGGGTATCCCCCGGGTGATGGGGTGACAATGAGGTATGTTCAAGCTGATTGCCCGGGCGGAATCCCCCGGTTTGTGTCTGATAGCGCTGGAGACCACTTCCCACGCGTCCGGTCAGCTTGGCGGTCAGGCTCCGCCCTGTGTGTTTATTTTTATTTACTATTTAGTATGTTGATTTATTTTGTTAAATGGATTTGTGTAAAATAGATATGTTTGTCTAGATTTTAATTTTGTTTTAGCAACCAGCAATCACTGTGTTAATTCTGCATAAAATATACAGTGTGTCTAGGCAAAGTGATTTATTTATCTTTCTTACTTATTCTACTTATTCACTGTTGTCAAAAAAAGGAAAAAAATACTGGCATTCCACTGGGCATTACTCCATCCCTTGCATGTAAGTGCCAGATATAAAACCACCTGCCAATACTGTCTGCAAGGAAGGTGTCTGCTTTTGTAGTCCTTTAAAACAGATCAGATAAAAATAGATCCATGAGTAAATGAGTAAGATATGCTTTAAACGGACATTGCCCAGTGGAATAATATAGGAAATATTTGTACTGGAATTTTTAAGATCTTAGATTCGAGCATTCTAAAAAATGAAAAGATGCCCTAAATCAACATAACCAAATAACTTAAACAATGTAACCAGATTCATTTACTTTTACATTTCATGACTCTTCAGAACGAACAGAATTATTCAACTTGATTTTTTTTTGCCATCTTCTTAAACTAGCATATAATTTTTAGGACATTCTTATCCAAATACATCAATCATAGCCTATCATGTCTTGTTATCTGTTGTCGTACCATTTAATATAACATGACAGATGTAACAAGATATGACTTGTTGTCAGAACACAGTGTGCCATCCAGTAATGTCAAAGCATTCTCCAAAAAGGAGAGCGGGGGAAAAAATAGCAAAATGTTTTTAGAGTACATTTATTCAACATTGCAAAACATCTTATTCAGTCATCTTTTAGCCTGAGTTCTACAACTTATTATTATTATATTTGTAAACATAATTGCAAATGTATTTTATCTAATGATTGCTTACATGGTGTGTGTGTGTGCGTGTGCGTGTGTGTGTGTGTGTAAGGGATGCAGTGTGTGTGTGTTTCTATAGTTATTTGTATTTTTCTGGTTATGTCTATTTTCTTACTATGACTTTTACTTTTTCATAATAAATTATTACTAAAATGTTACAATTCTGTAATTGTAATTCTCAATGCATTTCAATTTTGTAACGGACCATTTTGCACAAAAGGGGTAAAAAACGTTTAGGCGATCGGCCCCTTTTCCAGAGATGCAGGCACAGCTACTGCAGAACACCAAACACACGAACCGCCAATAAGTGAATGCTCCAAACTCCCGAACGGCATTCAATATAGCACTCCAAATACACGAACAGGAACCATACGAATTGCTGCTACCAGACGAATAGGAAAAGCATCCAAGTGGCTTACACTCCTAGCAATCAGTCTCTATCAGCATTCAGTAAATCCCCCCAAAGACGAGACAAGGCTCCGTGTTGAGGGTCAAGCAGTGGTCTGTTTAATGAGGGCTACCTGCCCGGCTTTTATGCAGGTCTCCCACCTGGTGGACACTCCCCTAGGGGACCAAATGGGAGACTGTGACAAGGGACAGACAAGTAGACAAATAGGACACACAGTCACAGTATATTCCCACAATGCATCCTGGCTTCCTCCCCTCTGCCCTGGGAGATAATTGAGAAGTAACTCAATCATCTCCCAAGACAAAGGCAAAACTCCATTACACATGTGGGGACACAAAATCAGTATTATACTTTAAAATACATAAAGTAACATTTACTACATAAAACACAGACATGTAACATGTAATCCCCAGATAGCTCAGGTCTGAGTGCACATTATTAGGTGAATGGCACTCAGACCACACAAATACAGTTTAATTGCCATGGAGCCAAAGTCTTTAATTACACGAATAGGCTCCATGGCATAGCTATCTGGGTTAAAACATTCCCCCAACACGAAATACCGAATCTACATACATTCGTTAAATTGGTACGAATCAGAACCAGGGGCTGAAGGCTCAGCTGTGCTTAGCTGACACAGTGTCCAGATTTGGCGTAGGAAAGCCGGGCAGAAAAGCGCTGGCTGCCCGGGGAGCTCCAGAACATCGCCATCGTGTGGCGGCTAGGTGTAACCGCGACCACCCAGTAACAGTCAATTAAGCTGCGGTTAACCGCAGCTACTGGGTGGTCAATTGCTGGCACACGCTCGTTAGGCCGCGGTTAACCGCGGCTTCAGGGAGGTAAATGGAGGGCACACACCAGCTTCTGGGTGGCCAATTAACGGCGCCGGCTGACTTCCCACGGCTCGGGGAGGCTGATAGAAGTCTGTTTGTTCAGTAGATAGAATCTACCGAACGGCTGTGCAGAAAGGAAGGAATAAATCTTTCTGCACAGTAAAATTAACCGTTTAACTGCCGGTCCATAATCCAAAGGCAGCAGGCGGGCAACCAGGCTCCTCCGATGCAATGTGGCGAGATTGGTCTCGTCACAAATTTAATGTAGCATTATGGTGGTACCTGAATACTTGATAAAACAATGTAAAGTCGGTGTAGCGCTGTATACATACATATAATAGGATTAGGCCTAATAGAATGGTCAGGCTTCCAAATGAGGGTAATACCAATATTTTGTATAGTCCACCTAAAATAAGCAAAGAGAACTCTAATAGTGTAACACTGTAAATTAAACTGGTAGTGAGAGTAAAATATAATAACAAACTCACATTCTTCTGAGCTTAATGCCAAGCTCAGGAATAAGTGCGTGTAGGTCCGTACAGGCGACCTTCCCCTTCTTCTTATCAGGTGTCTATCTCCAATCGTCTCTAGAGCTCAAGTAAAACAGATATATAGTGTAGAATGTCTGTGTATAATATTACTGCTTAAAGTATATAATATACTCACAAGAATGGAGCCTCTATATCGGCTCTGTCTCTGCGCATGGAATAAAATGTAGAACTTTTCCAAGCAGGAACCAGAAAAGAGCCCATATAATAATTAAAAAGTATATAAATAATTTATTACATTACCAGGGTGTAGAAAAACCCTCTATAGTAAAAAACGCCAAATTCCAAAGCGCAAAAAATATAAAATGAACAAATAAATAATAAATGGGCATAAAAATAACATACACTTCTGTCCAGAACGCGTTTCACCGTAACTCCGACGGCTTCCTCAGCTGGATTCAATAGGTCTTCCTAAAGTGCAATGGTCCTGCTTATATAGTCTCCTTCTTCTGTTCTGTCATTTGAAAAAAGGCGCGATTGTTCGGTCCACGCCCGATCAGTATATGCGTTCCACGCCTCTGTTTGCATCCGGATCACTTCCTCATATGACATCATCCCTCTCAATCATGTGATCGGGTGTCATACACGGATACCATTTTACAAATCGAGGTCAATGATAGGAAAGGAAATAATAAAGGGGAATAATAAGCTTGTGTAGCTACACAAAAATAATATTTAGATAAATAGATATTTCTTCGATCTAATGGGAATATATCTTATATCTAATGTAAGTGTGTGAACAGAAAGTCTGTCACATTTCTCCTATTGCTACTAAAATATTGTCTGGGAGCTATTACAACGTTAATTACATTCTCTTTATTTGTATTCACTTTATATTTCTGAGGTTAAACAGTAGCAAAAAACTTGTTACCTAAAATAACACAACTAAATTAACATTGTATCGTGATGGTTTCTCTTTATAGATCACTGTCACTTTTCACTGAGTTAAACCCAGGAATTCTACAGTGGTAGGAGACTTGTTAAATATATTAACATAGATAAGTTAACACTATGTCCTTATTTTCTCATTATAGCTCACTGTCACTTATTACTAAGTTGAACTACCGGCATAAAGTAACGCAAACGAGTCATACAATATTTCATAATTTTGTGTAGTGCATCCTAGTTACATATAACTGAGTACTGGATCTTATAAAATGTACAGAGACTATCTACAAACGCTAGAGAAATACTATCATAGAAACAAATTCACATTAAAAATAATAATAAGATAGAATGCGGACAGATGGATTATATATAGAAGTACACTCAAATTATCTCTTAATCATGTCAAAAATCTCTAAAAGATCTATAGTAAAGTTGGACATCCCTAGATAGTCCTTCTGAACATAAAGATTATTGTACATAGGCTTATATAACATAACATACTAAAAAATCATATATAAAAGAACATAAGTATAAGGACCATAATTATGGACTATAAAAAGTATTAAATATTAGAGATTGGGACGAGCTCGGCTATCCTTCCAAAAAATGACAAATTTCAAAATTTAAATATCGAGGACAACAGAGAGAGATCGCTAAAACTGAGAGGGATAATATGAATTCCTATTATATCCCTGATAAATATGAGAATAAACAAAGAAATATGGCATTACCTAATAGGTATAGGGAAAAAGCGGTTTATAGAGAGAATTATAGGATGACACACTATGCGAATGGTCAAGAAGAAAAAGATAGAGAAAATGGATATAGATCTCGAGTAATGCCCAATAGAGAAAAACCTAAATATGAATACTATCAGAATAAATGGGGGGAGAAAGGAACATATAGGAGAAATGTGGAAAAATATAAGGATACACATGAATATAGAAGAAAGAGAGAGGAT